TGTGTGTGTGTGTGTGTCTGTGTGTGTGTGTGTGTGTGTGTGTGTGTCTCTGTCTCTCTTTCTCTCTCTCTCTCACACACACACACACACTCAAAACATTCCAATATAAATAACTCACAGTTCCACATACTGAAATCCACTTTGACGCAAGACATACATACGTACATAGAAATATGTAAATCACACAGCCACAAATCTAAGACAATGCAGCAGCAAGAAACACCCTCCATGGAAGTAGACTACACCAAGACCGAAGACCGCAAGTCTCCTAGTTTGTCTGGGTGCGCGTTAGCACTTGCGCAATGGAGGAGCATGTTGACGTCAACACGCGTGTTGGAGGTGCAGTGCTGGCAGCGTGCGCTTGGCGGGGCGCTGGTCAGCCATCGGTGGCGAGGCGCTGGTTGTGCGCTGGTAGTGGGGCGCTGGTGGTTCGAAGGTGGCGAGGCGCTGGCTCCTTGAGAGGAGCGAGGCGTTGGTTGCTCGTGGACGGCGAGGCGCTTGCTACGGGTAAGCAACGAGGCGCTGACGACTGGCGGTTGGCAAGGTGCTGGCTTCATGCACATAGCATGGTGCGGACAGCTAGTGTGTGGAGATGTGTTGGCATGAGGATGCTGTGAGGGGATAAACGGATCTGGCGATAGCGCTTAACGCACGCGTGGCATCCAGAGGCACTTGGCCAATCCACGTCACAGGTTGACGTGGCGGTTGGCCTGAGTCATTGTGGAAGAGGGAGAATAGTGGTGGAAGCTGCTGTTTGTCTATTTCCCCTGTGCTTTCCACGTCAAGTATTCCATAACCAATGCCCTTATAGAGGTTGGAGCATTCGAGTGAGTTGGTGAAAGTCGACGTCGGTGGAAGAAAGTGGAGTCAGCTCCGTGGAACCAAAGTGCGGACACCACTGGACCAGCTTGGAGCATCATCACAACAGGAGGATCGTCGGCGAGATCATAATCAAGGGAGCTCTTCTTCATTCTTGTGTTATTTCGTTGTTGTTGTTGCAGTTTTTTTCGTTAGAAGCGTTGGTTTATCATCAATATTGTCGTTGGTTGTCTTCACATATTAAATTTTCTCGTTATATACGTCACCCACATTGTTTTTCGCAGGTGGTCGCCATCACTGTTGACGGTGATCATCATCATCATTTTTCTTCCTCATCTTCTTCATCGTCATTCAGACTTCTCCATCAAAATCGTAATCATTGTTATCTTTTATTTTCATTACAACAATGGTGAGCTGTCAATCTTCCACACCGATGCCATTAGGGTATCGGAAGTCAAATGTTCCTTACTTATTTCTCGCCAATTTTATTCCATCATCATCATCATCATCATCATCATCATTATCTACCAATCTCAATCTTTATCATCATCATCATCATCATCACAGTTTCTTATTCATTTTTTCATCAATTAGTAGTTATCTCTATGTTGGTGGTTATATTCTCTTTGCCCATATAGGTTATGGTCTTGTTGGTAGGTAGGTCGGTCATGAAGGGAGCGCTACTCCGCAGGGGTAACACAAGGTGGGAGGTGATTGCCCTCTAGGGAGTAGACGCAGATGATGGGAGGTGATCTGAGATGGGGCAGGGAGATATATATGAGGGCGCATTATCTCCTGGCAGAGCCAGACTAGGTTAGAGTGTTAGATTTGAGGTACACCTTTTGGGGGAACAGGTTACTTCAAGGTAGAAGGGAATGAGGAGGTTCTCTCTCTCGTTGGGGCTGAGAGGAACTTGATATTGATAGCGGGGTTCAACTTAGTGGAGGCAGCGAGAGGAGAAGAGGAGAACAGGAAGAAGGGGAGGGGTGGAGAGGAATAATCATCAGCATCCTCAACATTATACATCATCTGTGTGATCATCTCAGGGTACTCGTCAAATTTCATCATCAGAAAGTTTTTTTCCTCAGGATTCTGATGTTATAAGATCCTAGATTTCTAGTTGGCATTCTAGCTTAGCTAATTTCCTAATTGAGCCTTTTTGTGTAATGGACAGGTTGAGTTGGCGCCAGAACAATGCTGGCCGGCGCTGGGGCGGTGCCCTATAACCTGCTTGAGTAGGAGCTTGAGGCTTTGTATAGAGGTTTGGGATTGCCGAGGGAGGAAGGCGATCTGCAAAATTGACTAATAGCTACAATTTGATCGACGATGGTCGGAGCTGAGGTGGGTAGCGGCGTAGCGCTGCCCTGTAACCAAGCCAGACTCGGGTGTGAGACCAGGAAGAGGCCTGATTGGTGCACAACACAGGCTCAGTTGAGATTGGTTGGCTGATATGGATACAGGAAATTAGGGATAGGCTAGTATTATAARAAGAWAAAAAAAAAAAAAAAAAAAAAAAAAAAAACCACCTTCCATACTAGTCCACTAATACGTCCTTACTTGGTTTCTACCTTGACCACCCACCACCACCCAGCTGAACACCCTATGAAATATAACACACCCAACATCCTACCAGTTGAACAACCTATAAAATACACACCCAAAGTCGTGCCACACAACTTCTATCCCCCCTTTGTGGCACCCCAAGTAAGATACCCATGAACACGAAACCCAGTGGCCTAACCCGCAAACCCTGCCCGAAAAACAAAAAACCACTAATACTCTACCCCTGCCCCCTGTTTTTTACAAAAGAAGAAACGACCCTCCCACAACTAGACAAACCCAGACCCTCCCATCCTTACTACTGAAAACAAAATTACCCTGCGGACAGTACCCAGGAAAAAAGACAAGATTCTGCAAGAGAAAGTGAATGTCATAATTATGGGGTGGTTGAGAAACCACAAACTGTCCATATTCAAACGAGCGTTGGTACAAACCTTTGCTTTCTATACTATGGTTTCCCCTGGTGGTTCGTTGGTTGGGGAACACATCTTATAGTGCAATAAAAATGGTAGTTGGGCAGTATCTGTGGAAACCAGCAGCAACGAATGAGCAGGGGTTCATAATAAACGTGGTACAAGACTTGGTGACTCAACCAAGGAATAAAGGAGGTTTGGGACTGCCTGTGATATTGTTACCCTTTTCTAACTCCTGAACATCAGACGAAAATGCCTCAACCTCCTAAACTCTGT